ATCACAGATAAAAAGGTACCAGAGTAAAAATGGAGGAAGGATTTATAAGAAACCGAATGTTTTAGATAAGAAAAAAGTAATAAAATATTATCTCTTATGAACGTTCATTTTACAGCTATTCAATAAAATAAAGATAAATAAAAAGAACAGGCAGTAATGCAAGTCATACGGTGCCCATTAAAAAAATATATTTTTTGTCTTCTGGAAAATGTTCCTTTACCTTAGAAGTTTGTCTGGCTTGAGTAAAGTATTGATGCGATTGACTATCCAACTAAAGAGGCGTCCATATAATGCTTTGGCCATAGCATCCCTGACATCAGTAGCTTTTTCCACGGTGTTGGGACGGATGATTGTTTCTCCTCGAGTCACCACACAATGAGAGGTGAGAGCTTCTTGCAGTTCATCTGCCTGAATGCACAGCAAGGAAGCACCTTGGAAGTAAATAAGTTTACTGTTAAATTACGTATGGCCAGCTCACAAAGAGAGTTTTGAAGGATGAAGGGTTTTTTTTAATTTCTAAGGGCTTGACTATGCAAGTACAACATGCCCTGAGAAAGAGGCAGAGCATAACTATGCTGACTCTAGAAGTAGGTCAAGATCTTCAACTGTCATTCAGTCAAAATGTCTGCAATTTTTTCTTTGCTTTAAAATAGGGAAATATGCACCAAATCTTTCCCAGGTGTAGATTACATCCCCTTCCATGACAGCTCAGCCATGCTGGCCAGTGTGTAATAGGCTGGTGTCACAGCCACAACTCTAGGCAGAGGAGAAGAGAAACAACTTCCCTGGTGCTGCTTTGCCCTTTGTTGTTATAACTTAGGGCTGTCCAAGTGGTGGCCTGTAGGATGCATGTGGCCCACAGGAGGTTAATCTGTGGCTCTGGGTTCCCACCTGGTTATCACTCCTCCATTTTTCCAGCTGCAGCAGCAGACGGGCACTCTGGGCTCCTGTTCCCTCCTATGGCTTCTGCTTCCAGAGAGCATGAGCTGTAGCAGTGGGGAAGCTCATGTCATGGTGCAGTGGAGGAGCATTCAGGGGAGCTGGGGTTGGGGCCATGCATTGTTGGCTAGGGTGCCTAGGGGCAAGGGGTCCATAGCTCATGCTACTGTGGTCCCTGAGTGTGTGGCCTGAACTGCTGTGGCCTGTGCAACATGCAGCTCACAGCCACTTAGAAGCTGGATAACCCTGTTATACCTCAGTAGGTCGCTAACTAGAGTCCACCCAAAGGAAGAGCTTATAATTGATTTTTTAATCCTACAAAAAAACTTCCCAATGGTAGGAAGAGCATGACAATGAAACAAGTAGCCTTGGGGAAATGTGGAAATCTACTTCACTGGAGATTTTTGACAAAAAAGGCTAGCAAGGCATCTGTCTGGGATGGTTTAGCAATAGCAAAACCTTCCACAGTAAAGGGGCTTAGACTAGATGACCCCTAAGGTATTGTCCAACCCTTGAATGCTGTGAGCATTGTAGGAGGTATGGTTGGTAAAAGAATTTAAGAATTTAAGAATTTAAGATTTCAATGAACATTTTCATTGGAAGTTCAAATATAGATAAAAAAAAATCATTGTTACATTTTGCTTTCACCTCTCTCACCTAATAGTCATGCTTCATGAATACAACTTGGTTAACTGCTATAATAATTTGTAATAAATATGCTCGTGTTCAGCATGAATTGAAGTACAGTATTTTATTATTTTTGCAAGATTTCCATATGAATGCAATTTTATTGATAACCTTAATGTGTTATAATGAGCTGTCTCCTAAAACATTGAAGACACTTAATATTAAATTAAAGGAAGAACTTACAGTTCTCAAGAGCTACTGGATTAGAAATGTTGCTCTTGTCAATCATGTGCTCGGATACCACAGAAGAAAATTCAATGTTACCCACATTTAAAATTGCAGCGAGAATACTGTATACACTTCCAAGCTCCTGAAAAATAGATACAATTTATAGTTTTACATCTGATGCCTTAGGCTGTATAACTGTTATTCTATTCCTCTCTTCCATATCTTAATAACCAGAAGTGGTACTGGGCCCCATTGTCTTAAAATATTAAAATGGCATGGAGATGCATTCAGTTTGTAGCAGAAGAAATGCCTACAAGAAATTGGGAGAGTACAGGTGTTCAAGTGGTTTCTCCCACAAGAAATATGGCAGGTTCGGGAGAAACATCTTCCTCTTTCAACCTCTTTCATGAGATTCTTGTATCAGAATGAATGACTCCTCCTGGGGATTGGCAGGCTGCAGGCTGGAATGCTTCTATATTTCCTCTCTCAAGATTTCTAGCACAGCAAATCCCTGTGAAATTTGCAATGATAGAAATGAACTCCATACTTGTTGGCTATGTCTCACTCAGTTGGACACTGGAGTACCTTTGTGGATCTTTGCCTAAATTTCTTGGTACAAGGAATTTTCCTAAAATTGGTCTGATTCTGTGCCCACTGAAATCAAGAAGAATCAGACAGTATATGGACCTGATTCTGAAAAGCATGTAATCATGCCTTAAGCCAATCTGTATTCAGCACTGCACATACCACACTTATTCAAATATAAAATGACCCTGAATATAAGACATCTCCCTAATAATTAGATTCGATATATTGAAAATTGTAAATCTGTTATAATTTTCCAGATATAGAATCTAATTATTGGAGGTTTGCCCTGAATTTGCCCCCCTACCACTGCTAGAGTATGGAAAATAAATTGGGGGGGGGGGGGGGAGGGGGGGAAAGGGGCCCAGGGGGGAGCCCCCCCTCA